GAGATATAGTTTTATATTAATCATTAATAAAGCATTTCTACCTCACAATTAGTTACCCATAAGGCATAAATTAATATTTAAAAACTAAAATATTTCAATTAATATTAATTATAAATTTAAAACAGTAAATTTATGAATAACGTAACACTCCAAAAATATAAAGCAATTTGAAACGAAAAAGGCACAGTAAGTAATAACTACGGATGTGACATAAAGACAGATCAAAGAAAAGAGAATTTAAGAAATGTCGGGGACTTGTAAGTTTATTGCGCGTAAAAGAGAATAAAGGAAAGATCAGTACAAGGAAAATTGAATATATTATAGCAGCATCCCACACAACAACTTTCCGGATTATAAAACGACGAGTATTCGTCATACTATAAAAATCGCAAAGAATTAAGTGATTAGTACAAATACGAAGGGAGGAAATTTGATCAAATATGATGTGAAAACCGATATGGATAGGGATATTTAAAAAAAAAAAATATTTGCGTTATTGATGAATGCATATTTACACCAAATATTGAATCCAGTGTCTAAAAACAACTTTGCCGGGACGAGACAATACCATCCAATAAATAAGTAAATAAAAATTATGTATTTTGTAAAAACAAAATAATATTAGAAATTAGAAGTACACAAGGTGTTACAGATATTCAGGTTCTCCATTTTCGCTTACCCCCAAAATAAATTTATTCGATTTGAAAAGCTTAATTGAAAATAGAAATATTCCAAGTAGGTTGTGGTTTGGTTTGGTTTGGTTTTTTTAGCTTATTGTTAAAATTATACCATATGATCGAAACAAAATGGCGCCAAAGACTGCAGGGGAATGACAGACGTTGATAATTTTGGCGAAGTTAAGTTCCAGACGTCATTTGTAGAATGTAGAATATTTAGGAGGGGGGTTAATCACCGCGGCCTTACAGATCTAACGTGTGTTCCCCTCTCTTTAGTTATAACCGGTTATAACTCTTCATACAGTCCCAGGGCTTTGAAAAGAGCCAGTATCTGAGACGGCTTTACAGAGGCCAGCTCTCCATCTTCGACATCAGCCATATCAAAGTTTACGGCACGAATGGTTGTCATCTCGGCGCACTCAGTGTTAAGAAGTTCTGGTGTTTCCCCATTTTCTCCACAGAATCTGCATTCGCCGTTGTTTCTCAGTTTCAATCTACTGAGATGTTCGTTGAAATGACAGTGTTCGACAGTGTCCTGTTAGAAATCCCGTGACATTTTTATTTAAATCAAGGCAAATCTTTGAGATTTTTCCCGGGCGTAAGTTCTGAAGAACTTTTTCGAGTGTCTTAGACCGTTGGAGGATTTCCATTCCAGGTTGCGGATTGAGTCCTCCAGATTCTTCAGTTTCGCTTTAAGTTAGTAAAGTTTTCGCTCCTTTTCTAGCTAGATCCTTTGCTTTTTCATTGCCTTCTATGTGAGCGGGCACCCATAGAAGGAGAACTTTAGTTTCTTTGTCTAATTTGTTCAGCATCTCTAAGCATTCTTTGACCATCTTCGAATTGATGGTTACTGAGTTCATCGCTTTAAGTGCTGATTGACTATCGGATAAGATGGCTACTTGCTGTTTCCGATAGTTCCTATCTAAGACAAATTGTACGCATCTTTCGATAGCGCAGATTTTTCCCTGAAGGATGCTGGGGTAGATACGCCCATTGGTTCGGAGAATTTAGTTTTCGGCCTAAATACTCCTATCCCTGTCCCTACTTTGGTTTTGGAAGCATTAGTATACCACGTTATGGTATCTTTTTTGTTATGGTGTTTTACATGCTGAGCAAATTGAGTATGCTGAGCAAACGTTTCTTCCTTCCAGTCCTTTTTATTACTCAATACTACAATGAGTTGTTTGTCAAAGTTGTAAATTCTTGGTATGTCATCCACTGGGATTCCGTCAATGACCATTCTAATAGACGTCATTTACTTGACCCGTACTTTTCTTAACCGTATTTTTTATTGTCGCTTACTGCCAATTGGCCTTAAGAAGGTTTTATTTATTTTTATATTGAATAAAACTGATTTTTAAACGGTGTAGTTTAAAATAGGAGAAAAAATAAATTTTTGGAAATAAATTTGTGTGCCTGGAAACGTTCTATCCTTTTAAAATCTTTATATAATTAGTGTTCTTTTTTGGAAAGTTTTATGTCAATTTTTAACAAAAGACATCTAGAGATAGATATCGTCGAAATTATAATCTTCTTCTTCTTAATCGTCTTTTTTTTCGATCACACTGTACTTAACAACGATATCTTTCTTTGGAGCAGTTTAAAATAGTTAACATTTAAATCTATAAATTACGTTAATGGAGATGAGTGAGCCGTTCAAAATGATAAATATTTAAGAAAGACAAAATAATTTTAAAGCTATGTACAAAGTACAAAATAATTTTAAAGCAAAAGTAATAAATTGCCCTTTTTTACTTATTGGAACTTAAAAAATTAAACAACAGATATTCTGTTTTGTTAAGACACCCTTAGAGGGACAATTTTTTACATTTGATATGTACCAATACCAGTAGATAAGCAACCTTCGTTCTACCGCAAAAACGCGTGCTTTTTTAAATGAAGGTCCAAAAACCGTATTTTGGTACATTCAAGGTCATACGCAGGTGGGCAGTGCAATAGCCGAGAGAGAGGAGGAGGAGGAGAGAGAGATTTATGTTTATCCCCTCATTATACCTCTCTCTCTGTCTCCTCCTCCTCCTCTCTCTCGGCTATTGCACTGCCCACCCGCGTATGACCTTGAATGTCCCAAAATACGGTTTTTGGACCTTCATTTAAAAAAGCACGCGTTTTTTACGGTAGAACAAAGGTTGCTTACTACTACTTTATTCTTATTTCCTTTTCTATATGAAGGTTATGAAGGTTATTATTTTAACTAATATATTAAGGTTAGTACATAAATTAATAAACACTATTAAAAGCATAAATTGTTGTAAAACGCACATGCATCAGATACTTTCTAAAAGCTATATCAGAAAAATAATCTTACATCAATCGTTATATCTTCAGTATTTATTTCAGTCTAGAGTTCTACCCAGGGGAGCATCACGGTAATAATATACCTAAAATATTTACGATTTATTATTAATTAATAAACGCTATTAAATATAATAAAGCAAAATTACTAACGCTAATATACAAGTCACAGAGCAAACACAAAAAAGAATTATAAAATTTAGTAACAACACTATTTATAAATCAAGAGCTCTAATGGATTAAACCCCTGTATATAAAAAAATGATTAAGGTAAAGAGTTATCAAGTGTTTTTACTAGCATAAACATCAGAAAAAAAATCACTTTTTAAAAACTAAAATTGTATAATACCATCTGTCATCTCTCACAGACTAAGATAAGACGTTAACATAAAAAACCCTATAAATAAAAAAAAAAATAATTAAAATAAAAGCAGTCAGAGTTTACGCAAAATGCGTGTACAATAATAAGATCTTATTAGGTTCTATAGCTTGGAGTGACTTTTTAAAAATACGATTTTAATCTATTATTAAACATTACCCAATTCCACCAAAAAGGAAAAAACCCCTTAGACCGCTTTTAGATGTAAAATAAGTTTAAAAGCTATGTACTTACATGAACTTTTTTTTTTTTTTTATTCAATTAATTGAACATTTAACACACCCGGTCCATAGCGCTGCCATGAACAAACTAAATAAACAAGTAATCATCTTGGGTATATATATATATATATATCCAACGGTCGCCTAATATAGAAAAAAAATGGTACCTTATTTAATAAAAAAACATATATATAAGACATATAGAGTTAGTGCAACCAGTTTAGTACAATGCCTTCATAATAATAATAATAATAATAACATTATAACAACATTCTTTAAGCTTCAACATCACGTCAAGGTATGGCTGTCACGTCGAAGACGTTCACACAGCCTTTCATCAAATCATTCACCCAATCAATTATACATTAATCTGTTATTAAACATTATTCAGTTCCATTAAAAGTAAAAATCCCTTAGCACGTTTTAGATATAAAATAAGTCTAAAAAACTATGTACTTACAGGAACTTTTACAGTTCAGTTTATAATTATCTGCTGATGATGCTAACATGGTTAGCAAAATGCGCGTCCAGTGTAAAAGTATAAGTGCTTTGGTGTATTGTGGTGATTTAGCGTTTTATTTTGATGAACTTTTAGCTTTTTTATGCTCAATCACATTTAATACATCCGTTCCATAACGCTGTCATGAACAAACTAAATAAATAAGTAATCATCTTGGGTATACATATCCAACGGTCATCTAATATAGAAAAAAAAAATGATACTTTATTTAATAAAAAAAAAACATATATACAGAGCGCATAGAATTAGTGCAATCAATTTAGTACAATGCCTTCATAATAATAATAATTTACTTATAATTAAATTAATAATAATAATTTATTTATTAATTTGTAATTTAAAAAAAAAATGATAGGTACTTTATTTAATAAAAAAGAACATATATACCAAAAAGGAAAAATCCCTTAGCACGTTTTAGGATGTAAAATAAGTCTAAAAACTATGTACTTACATGAACTTTTTTGCTTTTTATATTCAATTATATTTAACACATCCGGTCCATAACGCTACCATGAACAAACTAAATAAACAGGCAAACATCTTGGACATACATATCCAACGGTCATCTAATATAGAAAAAAAAATGATACTTTATTTAATAAAAAAAAAACATCTATACGGAGCGCATAGAGTTAGTGCGGCCAATTTAGTGCAATGCCTTCATAATAATAATAATAATAAAATTATGAAAACATTCTGTAAGCTTCAACACCACGTCAAGGTATGGCCGCCATGTTGAAGACCTTTCACGCAACCTTTCATCAAATCATTCACCCACGCAAATATACACTTATCAATAATTAGGTATAAATTATATATAAACAAGAAATAAAATTAGCAATATAAGGTATAAGTTAATAATAGGTATTAATTTATTAAAAAATAAAAAATTATATATTCATTATGGAGCAATGTCCATGCGGTAGAGTCTGAACCGAACCCTTCATCAGGTGTCTTTTATCATCGTGAGGACTTAAACTTATTTTCGATTGTTTAACACTGTATAGTTCATGTTTGTTCGATTGAATTAAATTTTGCGATATCAGTTTTTCATTAAAATTCTCCAAACATTCAACATAATCATTAAAAGTAATTTTCTTTTTTATGACGCACTTTTTCACGCCCTTAATCTTTTTAGTAACACCCAAATTTCGTAAATAATTGTCAATTTCCTTTTTTTCTTCACCTTTTCGTTTCAGTTCATTTTCTTTTTGTTTCAGCTCCTCAGGTAAATAATATAATTTTGTAGCATACATTTTAGAACGAAGTCCAATAAAATGCGTCATTATACGTCCATTGTTTTCGTCCTTCATCATACCCAAGATCTTTTTGTTAACTTGCGGAATACCGAAAATATTGTCTATAGAATAATCACTTGTGTCAAAGTACTTCGAACAATCTCTTTTTATTATTTCGTAAACGTCTTGATTTTTAATTTCATACACTAAGGAGTCGGTATCGGTGTAAATAGCAGCACAATTATTTGGGAACTTTTCCAACATATAATTATAATGGAAATCATAAATCGTAATTTTAGCGATATCCAAAATAGACATTCCTACATATATGGGCTTATTGAAAAATACCTCAGACTTGGCCAGTTCAATTATCACAAGATTTTCATTAATTATGACTGAACTTTTAAACTCAGGTCTGGAAATTAACGCTTCCGCTCCATATCGACCATCCCATTGAGTTATCAGTTTAACAGTGGAATGTTTGCGGATATTCTCCATCGTTTTGCCAAAGACCGCATTATTCATTAACTTGAATAAATTTTTCTCGAAATCATTCTTTGCTTTCTGTCTTAGGACTGTGTTTAAATCAATATACGATTTTAACCATGGAGATTGATTAAAAGATAAGATCCTATGGATTTTCGTCAGTTTAACACCCAAAACCAAAGCTTGTTTCAAATTACGATAATGGATGACGTATTCCTTTTTATTGTACAACGTTGCCAATAGTTTGGAATTTTTAGAGCCAGGAGGTTTTGTATGCTCTGGACAAGGAGGTAAATCAGAGAATATATCATGCAATTCATGAGGAATTTCCAGATCAACTTCTAAAATATAGCCTGTATCGGCATCATCAGGAATATCGAGAGAATTAAAGTTCTGAAGACTAGACAACCATTTAAAACCACCATATGGCAAATACTGAGACATGGCCCAACCATACTGGTTGTTTATATCAAAGTACATAAGATAGGTTTCTTCTTTAGATGAATTATAATTGTTCATATACTTATTGTTTGCTTCAGCATACCTTTTAGAGCATTGGCTCAGACCACCGCGAATTCCTTTCTCAATAAAGAGTACCATATCCAAATCTGTAAGGAGTTCAAGATGCTGCTGTGCGGTTTTAGACATTTGGTACAACATAATTTGCCAAGCGTATCCGGGAAGAGTATAAGTGTGAGCAGGATCCAAACTATACGTCTTATGAGCAGTTAGTCTAAATGCTTCAAAAACGTCAGCTAACAACAAAATATCAGTCTTCAAGTACAGGTTCGAGTAATCACGCATAGTTTTGCATCCAAATGAATTCCATACGGCCTGGGCATGATTATAATTTTTGTGGCTTAAATATTCATCGGTTAACAAATTATAAAAATGTTGCTTTTCAGGTAATTTATTACACTCAAGCTTGGACCAACCATCCATAAAGTCGTATGGGAAAATACCTTTGCAGCATAATAGAGAAAACTGTTCTTCTGACACTTCCTTAAATTCACTCTTTAGAATAGGATATTCGGAAAGATTAGAGACTAAATTATCCAAACTAGACGCCAGGAATCTAAAGCTATCAATAAATCGAAACTCGACGGAATTTTCAAGAATTTTTTTAGTAAACGATATGTACTTTTCCTTGTTTACGGGTAAAACAGAGATTTTTCCTGTAGTTTCAGCCAAGGCTTTTACCACTATATGTCCATCGTACGAACTGAGGTTATGGAATATTACAGGCACAGTGTTGGTGTCCTTATAATTTAAATTACAATTTTCATGGGCTGGACCACGATATTTTCCAGTGAGGTGACAATGATCCCTGACTTTTTTATTATCATAGGCAAATGGTTTTTCGCAAATATGACAAATTTTCGCTTTATAAAATGCATTAGTTTGTTGTAATGTCATGGAATCCATAGGCAAATCACAAAGAAAAACAGTCTCAACATTTTCAGCAAAGTCCTCCAATTCTTGAACAAACCATTTCATACAATCCAATCCTGTATATGATTTATAAAACGATAGTGAATCATCATAACTACATTTAACGTAGTATCCAATGCTATAGGGTTCATGGTGCTGGTATTTTTTCGTATTTTTCCTCAAATTATCTTCGATAGGCATTAGGAAACATTCAGTGTCAGCATATATAACAAATGGAGCCTTTTCCTTAAAGTTAAAGTTCTTAAATCCAAGTAATTTCTTTTCGTTTGTAGGTATCCTGGGAACAGTTCCGCCCTTATTTAATTTTACACAATCGTTTAAATGTGCTGTTAATTTGTCTTCAGTCCTATAATAATGTAAGCATCTATCGCATATATTCTTCTTTCTATGCTCCCTGTTTATCTGACTTGAAAGTAAGCGTGATAAGTTCTTGATCCATAAATAGTGGATATTAACAGGTGGTATATCATTAGCATCATCTTCATGATAATTATCTTGTATCATTAGGAGGTTCGCGTGCTTCTCAAGTTTATTTTTCGTTAGAAAAGTAGGAATAACAGTAAATGTATTCTTGTTTTTCTCAAGCCTGTATACGTTTACGGAAACGTTATTTTGCTTTTCAAATCTAGGAACTTGCCCTAAAGTCATAGGAAATTGAATTCCCTTTAAGTTTAATACTTTTTTAGGGTCCGGGTACGATGAAGTTCTATCAGCAACGTTTGATGGTGCAGAGTAAAGACAGGAAAGAACAGCCCAAGCAAAACACATATTATCAGTGTTTTGAACGTTTATACAAGCACGTTTAAGTTTGATTTGTTTTGGAAGGTCTATATAGGTACCAGCACGTAAAGGATTATATTGATTTATGTTTATAGTTAAATTAATCACTTTGCTAAGGGCCCAACCTGAATCACGTTCTTGGAATTCATCCAGGTCTGTAAGTAAGGGATCCAACACATGTTTCTTGAACCAGACGTCCAAATTCATATCACGGTACACAGCGGTATTCTTGGTGTTCAGGTACTTGGTTTCGATAACAATCTCATCGTTTTTTTTCATATGAAATTCACCGCAAAGTACTGTATTTATTTTAAGCGAAGACTCTTGTTTTAAAGCGTTTTGGATTCTTCGTTTGAATAAAACAGCACAATCTTCTAGGAATTTAGTAGGATCGATATGTTTAATATTGGTAATAACACCAGTTCGGATTCTTGAACCAAACGCAGCTTGAAGATCTTCCCATTGCACTCTACGGTTAGGTGTTTCTTTTCTAGGTTTTTTATCTGCTGCTTGGATTCCTTTTCCTTTCTTCTGACAATATTTTAAACGGCATCGTAAACTTTTTATCTGCCCTAGACAGCTCACTAGATGCTGCTTTTCACCTAGGGTTTGAGCACTTTTCATTGCTGTGTTTATTCTGCGTACACCTTTGTTGCATTCCACTAAACCCTCTCGTAGGGCTTCATCATTATTTCTAAGGGCAAACCCTAAAAGGGTTGCAATATGCTTGATTAAGTTCATAAAAATAGTCATTTTGATATTAGCGACAGCAGAGCTAAATCAATACTGATATCCCAAATCGATCAAGGTATATATTTATAAACCCTTAAAGGGTGCGTTGAGAAAATAAAGTCTAAAGGGTATGTTCCATATAAAACGATTGGTTGACATCTGAAAGGAAAAAACTTATTATCTTAATTTTCAGAACAAATATATCACGGAAAAAAACAAAAAAATAGGTTAATAAAAAAAAAATATAATATTAATATTAAGTTATTTTTGAAATTATATTAGTTGAAAAAATAGATACTTAAATAATGTATAGTATGAAAAAATAAATTGTAATATTTTAGAAAATACTGAGTATGAAAAAAATAAATTCTATCACGTTTAAAGAAGTTGTAAAAGTGTTACCAATAAATAGGAAACCTGATTTCTTATCACTATTCAATGCATAATTATTATTAAAGTGCAGTTAATAAAATCTTCTCGAATAACATAAATAACATGATCACAATTTCCGATCAATACGCAAAAAGCTGTCAAATAAAAACTATAAATGACGCTTTATGAAAATATTTTTCATAGATCGGAAATAATAAAAAAAAAACAAGATATGTATACTCATCACAGAAAATACACTAAAATACACTACATAATACAGAAAAAATATATATATATATATATATATATATATATATATATATATATATATATATATATATATATATATATATATATATATATATATATATATATATATATATATATATATATATATATATATATATATATATATATATATATATATATATATATATATATATATATATATATATAATATATAATATATATAATAACCAAACCAAACCAAATTAACCAAACTAATAATATGCGGTATTTATTCAATTAATTGAGGCTGCCAGCTCAAAAAACAACCTAATCTACAAACTTGTAAATTTGAGCTGAATGATATTTATTTTATTGAATTCAATTTGTATCTAAATAAAAATAAAAGTTTTAAGCTAGAAAATTTACTTCATTATCAGTTTTCATGCAATTATTAATGTTGACCTAACTTTGCAAATAAATTCATAAAGAAAAACAAAAATCTAATCTCTAAATTATAGTTCATTAGGTCTTTAGGTAAATATTTAAAGCAAACTATCAAAACAGTGTTCAAAAATTATACTGATAGCATTATTATCACTAAATGTTAATCAAAGTTTTCTTAAAACAAGGTTTTTAGGGGGTTAGGCCGTTTTTGCGCTGGAAGCCTCAGTTGTACAATACATTTAAAAAATCAATATATTAAAAATTATTTTAATTATTATTATTAATTATTTTAATTATCGATATATTTAAAAAATATAAATCAGGCGTTTAAATAATATAATGATATTTATTAAAATAAAATACAGCTTGGAGATACTAAATATTGAAAAAAATAACAAGAAAATCTTTCGTTTAAATAATATATGATATTTATTAAAACCTTTATATTAACAGGATGGTAAATCAAACTATAAAATTGTAATTTGCATAAATACGTAAAGAAAAGGCGCTGGATTTAACTCGTTAGCATTTACTTACTGCCTTATTGAAAACTAGCCAGCTGAAATTAAGGATTAAATTACAATTATTTATTAAAAGAATGATAATAACATATTTTCAAGGATGTATAGTTTATGATCATTCACAGATAAAAAAAACACTTGAGACAGACAACAGTCTTTCACTGATTTTGGTAGCTATTTTGTTGTTTATTTTCGATGTTTTTACTCTTTTTGATTACTGTTTTTTCTGTCTGTTTTTTTAATGTTTATAATAACAAAATAAAACATTGAAATATAAAATATATATATATATATATATATATATATATATATATATATATATATATATATATATATATATATATATATATATATATATATATATATATATATATATATATATATATATATATATATATATATATATATATATATATATATATATATATATATATTTATTTAAATACGTATTTTTATTAAAACCGATAATTAAATTAAATTATTAAAAATACGATATTTATTAAAACCTTTATATTAACAGGATGGTAAATCAAACTATAAAATTGTAATTTGCATAAATACGTAAAGAAAAGGCGTTGGATTTAACTCGTTAGCATTTACTTACTGGCTTATTGAAAACTAGCCAGCTGAAATTAAGGACAATTATTTATTAAAAGAATGATAATAACATATTTTCATGGATGTATAGTTTATGATCGTTCACAGATAAAAAAAATACTTGAGATAGACAACAGTCTTTCACTGATTTTGGTAGCTATTTTGTTGTTTATTTTTGATGTTTTTACTCTTTTTGATTACTGTTTTTTCTGTCTGTGTTTTTTTTTTAATGTTTATAATAACAAAATAAAATATTGAAATATAAAATATATATATTTATTTAAATACGTAACATTGTGGCGCTGTAAATAATGCATGACGCTGACGCTCACGCTCTCTGAACGCCTTCTTCTGTTTTTTGCTCAACCCTGGTGGAATTGGTAAAATGATGGGTTTCAGTAAACACTTTTCCGTTGGATTATATCCCTCTCCTGGCTCATCCCACGATAAATCAGCTGGTGGTGGTGGTGGTGGTGTTGCTGGTAGTATGCATGATAAATCGGTAGGTGGCGATGTAGGTGTTGTTTGTTTCCACAATCCCTCTCCTGGCTCATCCCACGATAAATCAGCTGGTGGTGGTGGTGGTGGTGTTGCTGGTAGTAAGCATGATAAATCGGTGGGTGGCGATGTAGGTGTTGTTTGTTTCCACAAATCCATATCGTACGTATATATTATTTAAAGTACAACGAAGACTTGGACTCTCATTCTAATAAATTCAATATATTACAGATTATAAATATATAGCGCAAAAGTGTTTGAGACAGACAGACAGACAGGTATACAGAGTGGAGATAAGCATACATCTCTCTATGTCTATCTGTCTGTCTGTCTGTCTGTCTGTCTGTCTGTCTGTCTGTCTATCTGTCTGTCTGTCTGTCTGTCTGTCTGTCTGTCTGTCTGTCTGTCTGTCTGTCTGTCTGTCTGTCTGTCTGTCTGTCTGTCTGTCTGTCTGTCTGTCTGTCTGTCTGTCTGTCTGTCTGTCTGTCTTCTGTCTGTCTGTCTGTCTGTCTGTCTGTCTGTCTGTCTGTCTGTCTGTCTGTCTGTCTGTCTGTCTCTCTGTCTGTCTACCTGTCTCAAACACCTTTTTCGCTTTCGATTTATATAGATATAAGACAATGGGTGACGACAAAACGATAAAAAACATAACAAACAGTAAAAAAAGACCGAAAAACAGTGATCAAAAAGAGTAAAAACAACAAAAATAAACAACAAATATAGCTACCAAAATCAGTAAAAGACTGTTGTCTGTCTCAAGTGTTTTTTATCTGTGAAGTAATTTTATTGGTAAACTTTATTAGAGTATTTTGTCTATCTGAATCTTTGAAAAGTGATGAACGAAATTTAAAAAAAAAAAACATAAATACATTTAAAAAATAAATCAACAGAAAACAGACAATATTTTATTTTTATTAAATGAATCATTTCTTCAAATGTTCTAACTGTTCCATATTTTCGTTAATAGCTATAGTTTTATTAATATAGTTTTGAATCCGCGAATCCAAAAATTTTAATTTTGGAAAATGATTTAAGATTATTAAGATGTTTTTTTTTTGAGGAATTTTTACTTGTTGTTTACAATGAAGGATGGGGTTATTTTTAGCTGGATTTTCTTTATCTGAGCTAAACTCCTCAGTAAGGAGAGAAAGTGTGTCGGTGATGTAAGAAAAATGTTTTAATATTTTAAATTTTTTTTTTGGGATGACATAATTCATTATCAAAATCATTAATAGGTTGTTTTATTGAGACATTTTTAAAAAATTTGATTTGCATTAGAGTTATCGCTATCGCAAAGAAAATAATTGTTACGGAGAGGATTTATTAGGCTCTATTAATAATAGCTCACACTTTATCATAATATTTTTTCATTAGTTGTCAATTGTTCTGTCTGAATCATTATAAAAAAAAGGTAAAAAAACTGTAGAAAAATGTGGACCATCTCCAGATCTTCAAAAATTTTGTTTTAAATATCCTGTACGTCTGTTTCTGTTTGTTGAATATTACTTACTTACTACCATTACTCGCTGACGAGTATTTAATACGTATCAGAAAATGGTTACGCAAGGCGTTGTGTATTTTTGAGTATTAACAGTTATTTCAGAATGTGTATAAAGATCATTAGTAAAACAACAAAGGGGTAATTCTGTACTAATTTCAATTTCATATAAAATTTTATCTAGTTCCTCATTCATAATTAATGTCTTTTTGAATAGCTATTTCATAATGTGTATAAAAATTGTTAATATTTTCCTCTTCACTATTTTCAATTTCATGTAATCTTTTTTTCTAATTCCTTATTCATATTTATGTTCTGTTGGTTAATTGTTGATAGTTGACTGCTACAATTTCCCTTAAAAATTTGATTATTTCTTTATTTTGTATCAAAAATTATACATGGATTGAAAAATAGTTAAAGGAAATTATTTATATTAAATTACTTTTGTTAGGATTTATTTAAAAAATATATATATTTACCAAATAATTATGCTCTCATAAAACCATGAAGAAAAACTCACAGAAATATAAAACGTATTTCACTTTAACTCGTTAAAATTTCAGAGCACTTTAGCAGACTATCGCAAAAGCCAACCTTCTTATATTAAGTAAAACTCCCTTCTTTACCCTCGAACCATCTACCAATACAACTAGTTTCTTTCTTGAAAATTTGTTGTTGTCGTTCTTTTAATAAATAATTGTCCTTAATTTCAACTGGTTTGTTTTTAATAAGCCTGTAAGTAAATGCTAACGAGTTAAATCCAAACGCCTATTCTTTACGTATTTATGCAAATTGCAATTTTATAGTTGGATTTACCATCCTGCTGATATAAAGCTTTTAATAAATATCATATTTTATTTAAACGAAAGATTTTCTTGTTATTTTTTCAATATTTATTATCTCCAAGCTATATTTTATTTATTTCACAAGACATCATTCATAGTTTTTAATTAATGGATTTTTGCGTATTGATCGGAAATTGTGATCAAGCGCTATTTATGTTATTAGAGAAGATTTTATTAACTGCACTTTATTAATAATTATGCATTGAATAGTGATAAGAAATCCGGTTTCCTATTTATTGGTAACACTTTTACAACTGTCTTTTTAACGTGATAGAATTTATTTTTTCATACTCTGTATTTTCTAAAATATTACAATTTATTTTAATTTAATTATTCTTTTTATACTACTACTTTGTGGAGTTCGAAATTGGTAGTTTTATAGTTTTCAGAGCAAAACGGGAAATCATTGTGGTAGTCATGGAGATTTTGAGGATATTCTAAGTCAACTTCCAACACAAATCCTTTATTTGAAGTATTAGGTATTCCGATAGTCATACAAAATCACCTGTTGGAAGATACGGAGACATTGCAAAACCATACAAATTTGTGACATCATAATACGTTATGTATTTATGTGGTTTTGATGCATCATAGTTTAAAATAAATGGGTTATTTTCTTCTGATTTTCTAGTTACACAAGAACTCATACCACCACGAACAGTATTTTTGAAAAAATGTAACATGTCTTCGTCTGTTAATAATTCTAATTCTATTCCAGTACAACGCAAGCAATCTTCCCATAATAAATCTGTATAAAAGTGTGCTGGGTCTAGCTTGTATGTAGATAAACACGTTTTCCGAAAATTTTCAAAAATATCTATTAAAAGTAAAGTGTCTGTAAGTAAATATATATATCAGAGTAATTTCCTATGCACTTACACTCAAATAATTCCCAAACTTTTAATGATTTTTAGTAGTTTTTGAAAAATATCAATACAACTATTGGGAAATACATATTTCTAACGAATTAGATTAAATTTTTCATCATCAAAATATTTCCTTATTTCTACATATTATTCGTCTTTTAGAGTATCTGAAAGTTTACATAAGAAAAGTATAGAAATTGAAAAGAGTCAATAAATCTCGACGAAAGTTTCTGATAGTCTGTGACATAATTGTATCTATTTTTCTAATTCCATTAATGTATTTATTTTTTAGGATTTTTAAAAATTATGCAATATAAGTGTGCCACATCTTTATATAGATTCTATAGAATCTATAAAAAGATGGGTACTACTGAATCCTCTATAACTTTCTCTTAACATTTAATATAATATGCAAAGGAACAAGGAATATGTTCAACTTTTTACAGTATAAGAACTATCTGAGTTTGCATCAATACTATGATTAATTAAAGGTTTCAAAATGCATTCAAAATCTACATAAACTATAAAAAGAAACTGCTATGTTTTTGAAAGTATGTATATTTTAATTTTAATTTTGCTACATTTCAAAGCTCACCCCATAGTAATTTTTAGAAGGTAAATTAATTTTGATATGATCACAATCATAGATATTATATTTTTTAACATTTCTTCGGTTGAAAAATATTGTATACAGCTGTTAAATTAGTCATAAAAGATCGGATACAACAATAATTAAATCTTCCACGATCATCATTTATTACTAATAAATTGATACGTATTTCTATATCTATCATTTAGAAAATATTGATACCTTACTTTGCAAAGTCAAGTGAGTTTTTATCAAGTGAGTTGCTCTATTCCGAAAAAATTAAAATAAAACTGTTCAGAGATAGTGCAATAATCAAAGTAATTCGATTTTTTTCCTAACAACACAATATATTTTGAGGTCTCTAGAAATGAACTATAGATATAATTTTACAAAAAATTAATTTACAACGTTTTCAAAGTATGTTATGTTCAGTTACCTCATATTCCTTCATTATTAAAAATTTATTAAAATATTTTTCTAAACTGCAGACACAATCGATAATATTGTTTTGAATTTCAAATGCTTTATGTCTTTTAATAATATTAGACAATCAATACCTGCAACATTCAAACTGTCAAATAGTGTAGATACTATAATGTAACAAAGTTACTATCTGTTCGGGGTTAAAGAGCTGCTACTATAGACTAAGAAAAGCAGTAGACATCGTCCTTTTTATGTTTACTACAGTTTGATATCGTAAGTAGTCATTGCGACACTTTGGACATACAGCAGCCTTTTACTGATTTTACTGTCTGCTTTATTCTTTTTGTTGACTGTTTTGCCGTTTTGTTATCTATTTTACTGTTTTGGCTCTATCTATATAGGTATAAAAGCTAACAGTATAAAAACAATAAAACAGATAGCAAAAACAGTAATAGAGACAGGAAATTAATTGCATTGACATTAAAGTCATTACGACATTGAGACTTTCACTGATTTTGCTGTCTGCTTAACTGTTTTTGTCTGTTTTACTGTTTTTACTACCCGCATCACGCTTTTTGATGTCGGTTTTACTGTCTGTCTAAAGTATTGTAATGATTACTGACATACTATCTCAAGCAGAAGTTCAACAAACTATGATGCTCTCAATGGGTTGAATTTATTCATATTATATCATATATTTTTATATTAAAAATAAAGCACTTACCAGAATCTTTTTCTGTAAACATGTCAGGTTTTGTATTGTATATCATATTGAACAGTTAGTTGATGGTTTTGTGATTTTTGTGTTTGTCGATGTAGTTACTGTTAGTTGTGATTTTCTCCTGTTCATGTATCCATGGTGAATTAAATTTACACTATTAGTTTTGTTAGTGTGTCTGTTTTGTGGTTTTGTATTTGTTGGTGTAGTTGGGTTAGGTTGGTTGTAAAAAAAATGATATTTCAGTTCTACAAAAGAATTCTATGTGTTAACTCATATTATTAAGATATTATTATGTTTTATCTATAAAGATCCCATCACGAAAGAAATTTGGAAAAGAAATTGTATATCATATTGGACAGTTAATCGGTTTTATGATTTTCGTGTTTGTTGGTGTAGTTTGTCTATTTTTTAATTTTACTGTAGTTACTGTTGGTTGTGATTTTCTACTGTTCATTTATCCATGGTGAATTAAATTTAGTCCGTTAGTTTTGTTAGTATGTTTGTCGTCTGTTTAGTGGTTTGTTGGTGTAGTGTGTCTATTTTTTAATTTTACTGTAGTTACTGTTGGTTGTTGGTTGTGTATTTTCCTGTTCATGTTATGTATCCATAAGATATTTAATATTCTTTCTGCTTTTTAGTGTTTTTTGATTATTTTTATCTATTTTGATTGTTATTAATCTATTTATAATTTGTAAATATAGTCACCTACTGTATTTTTATATTGTTAATTTATGGTTCTGATGAATTTAATATGAGGAATATTATTTTTTATTACAAGTGTAAAATATAATTAAAGATTGGATAAGTTTTTGAATAGAAAAAGGTCTTAATTTTATTAGTTGAATATATAAAACTATAACCTACTACAACTATAAGTAATAACTTTCATAGACATTGATAATGTTAATCGCAACTTAGTTGTAATGGGTACGATATTTATAGTATCGAACTGCCTAGTCCACAAAACATATTTGTCTGGTCGTCTCTCTGGGTCGTCTTTTTGTATTCAAAACTGTTTTGATTCTGTTGATCCGATTCCGTACGCTGAACTTTCACAAGGCCGGACAACCGCTCTCGTTGCTCAAGGCCGGTACTGGTTTTATTTCTTTAATTTTATCATGATACAGATGAGCAATATTTGAAAAGATCGATAAATTTTGATTATATTTAATAATAGATTAGTAAATCAGTTTGTTAAGGAATGTATGTGTGTGTGTGTGTGTTTAGATTTAAGTATAATGTTTAATTGATAGAAGTATTAGATTAAATTTTAACTTATTTTTTAAATAATAAAAAAAAATAAATTTTAAATTAGTTGAAATAATAACCATGTGTCAAATCAACAGAATTTTTACATGATGTTAAATAAAACTACCAATATAGTCATAATATATTTATAGTCACATTTATTTGAATCCCCTTTTCATACTATATACTATATTTTCAAAACTGAACTAAATATTTATATTATGAACTTGATTTAATATGAACTCATAGTGGGCATTTAGTTGTCATTTTTGTATTATAACGTTCCATGTTAATATAGAGTTTAAACAAAAAATTAAGTACATACAAGTTTCGTAGCAATCAACCATGTCATGGCAAATAGCACAAAACAGTCGCTTTTTGTATGTTGTTCGCAAATTATAGTTTCTTCTTCTTTCCTAGAAGGAGACTGTAACACACTAAGCATAGATTGATGTTGTTGGATAGTGAAACTCGAGTGATGGGATAGGTTGTAAATTATTTTCTTCGGTCATTCTGAACTAATACGTACTATTTGATGTTTTTACTATATATAACTAGACATTGATATAGTGGGAACAAAAGTAAGTGGGAGACAAACATGAATCTCTCTGTTTCTCTATATCACCTTCTTCGCTGAAGAAAAAAAGTAGGAAAGAATCGATTTGTTTTTAATATCAAAAGGTTATCTATCGATATATTTTTTCCTATATTAGATAACCGTTGGATATATATGTAAGATGTTTACTTGTTTATTTAGTTTGTTCATGGTAGCGTTATGAACCGGGTGTGTTAAATGTAATTGAATATAAAAAAGCAAAAAAGTTCATGTAAGTACATAGTTTTTAGACTTATTTTACTCCTAAAACGTGTTAAGGGATTTTTCCTTTTTGGAGAAACTAAATAATGTTTAATAACAGATTAATGTATATTTGCGTGGGTGAATGATTTGATGGAAGGTTGCACTAACTCTATGCGCTCCGTATATATGTTCTTTTTTATTAAATAAAGTACCTATCATTTTTTTTAATTATAAATTAATAAATAAATTATTATTATTAATTTAATTATAAGTAAATTATTATTATTATGAAGGCATTGTACTAAATTGATTGCACTAATTCTATGCGCTCCGTATATATGTTTTTTTTTTATTAAATAAAGTATCATGTTTTTTCTATATTAGATGACCGTTGGATAAGTATGCCCAAGATGATTACTTATTTATTTAGTTTGTTCATGGTAGCTTTATGGAACGGGTCTATTTAAATGTGATTGAACATAAAAAAGCTAAAAGTTCATCAAAATAAAACGCTAAATCACCACAATACACCAAAACACTTTTACTTTTACACTGGATGCGCATTTTGCTAACCATGTTAGCATCATCAGCAGATGATTATAAACTGAACTGTAAAAGTTCATGTAAGTACATAGTTTTTTAGACTTATTTTATTTCTAAAACGTACTAAGGATTTTTACTTTTAATGGAATTGAATAATTTTTAATAACAGATTAATGTATAATTGAGTGGGTGAATGATTTGATGAAAGCCTGGTGAACGTCTTCGACGTGGTAGCGATACCTTGACGTGATGTTGAAGCTTAAAGAATGTTGTTATAATGTTATTATTATTATTATGAAGGCATTGTACTAAACTGACTGCACTAACTCTATACGTCTCATATATAATATGTTTTTTTATTAAATAAGGTACCATTTTTTTCTATATTAGGCGACCGTTGGATATATATGCCCAAGATGATTACTTGTTTATTTAGTTTGTTCATGGCAGCGTTATGGACCGGGTGTGTTAAATGTTCGATTAATTGAATAAAAAACAAAAGTTCATGTAAGTACATAGCTTTTAGACTTATTTTACATCTAAAAACGGTCTAAGGGATTTTTTCCTTTTTGGTGGAATTGGGCTAATGTTTAATAATAGATTAAAATCGTATTTTTAAAAAGTCACTCCTAGCTATAGAACCTAATAAGATCTTATTATTGTACACACATTTTGCATAAACTCTGACTGCTTTTATTTTAATTATTTTTTTATTTATAGGGTTTTTTATGTTAGCGTCTTATCTTAGTCTGTGAGAGATGACAGATGGTATTAGATAGCATCAATTTTAGTTTTTAAAAAGTGATTTTTTTTCTGATGTTTATGCTAGTAAAAACACTTGATAACTCTTTACCTTAATCATTTTTTATATACATATAGAAAAGGAAATAAGAATAAAGTAGTAGTAAGCAACCTTTGTTCTACCGTAAAAAACGATTTTACATCTAAAAACGGTCTAAGGGATTTTTTCCTTTTTGGTGGAATTGGGCTAATGTTTAATAATAGATTAAAATCGTATTTTTAAAAAGTCACTCCTAGCTATAGAACCTAATAAGATCTTATTATTGTACACACATTTTGCATAAACTCTGACTGTTTTTATTTTAATTATTTTTTTATTTATAGGGTTTTTTTTTTTTATGTTAGCGTCTTATCTTAGTCTGTGAGAGATGACAGATGGTATTAGATAGCATCAATTTTAGTTTTTAAAAAGTGATTTTTTTTCTGATGTTTATGCTAGTAAAAACACTTGATAACTCTTTACCTTGATTTATAAATAGTGTTGTTACTAAATTTTATAATTCTTTTTTGTGTTTGCTTTGTGACTTGTATATTAGCGTTGGTAATTTTACTTTATTATATTTAATAGCGTTTATTATTTAATAATAAATCGTAAATATTTTAGGTATATTATTACCGTGATGCTCCCCTGGGTAGAACTCTAGACTGAAATAAATACTGAAGATATAACGATTGATGCAAGATTATTTTTCTGATATAGCTTTTAGAAAGTATCTGATGCATGTGCGTTTTACAACAATTTATGCTTTTAATAGTGTTTATTAATTTATGTACTAACCTTAATATATTAGTTAAAATAATAACCTTGATGATAATTATAGATAACCCTAATTTTTAAGTCGAATAATATCCTGAAAAGAATGAGAGCTTTTCATATAGAAAAGGAAATAAGAATAAAGTAGTAGTAAGCAACCTTTGTTCTACCGTAAAAAACGCGTGCTTTTTTAAATGAAGGTCCAAAAACCGTATTTTGGGACATTCAAGGTCATACGCGGGTGGGCAGTGCAATAGCCGAGAGAGAGGAGGAGGAGACAGAGAGAGAGGTATAATGAGGGGATAAACATAAATCTCTCTCTCCTCCTCCTCCTCTCTCTCGGCTATTGCACTGCCCACCCGCGTATGACCTTGAATGTCCCAAAATACGGTTTTTGGACCTTCATTTAAAAAAGCACGCGTTTTTGCGGTAGAACGAAGGTTGGTTATCTACTAATACCAATATACCTAGTTAGAGTCTCTTTAACATGATTTCTAGTGAATGTTGCGTTAAAATTTCCTTTTGGTCATTTTTAATCTGCCTGACCTCGATTTGGTATTTTGTAAATTAACTGAAAACAGACAGTCTTTTTGCGGAAGTGTACAGAATATATTATTGTATAGAATAGAACAGAATATATTATAGTATTGTCATTGTTTAATATGACTAATTCTGACTAGTCTTTTTGCAAAGCGCCTGAAAATAGGTAAACTTTTTGTAAAAATGTCTTCTTTTGTTTAAAATACCTACGTTTTTTTATACCTAGTCTTTTTGTGGAAAGCCGGATTATTCTATACTCCTGCTACATATACATTCTGCAGGTATAAATAATTAAAACAGTTCTTATAAGTTTATATCCCAAAATACTTCGTTTCGTAGATACAGGGTGTAGAAATTTCATTTTTATTTCGATCTTTTCCAAATAATTTCTGAAGTAACGTCAATATTTGGATGAAAATTGGTGTCTGGGAGTTTTTTGACATGAGAAATTTGATTTTGATATCAAAAGGACCTTTATTTGTAGGAGGCGCCACCTACATGTGTTTTAAGTGTTTTGAAGAGTAATGACTTTTTCTTCATACCTGTATAAAATTTCTGACTGAAAAAATATACATTTTCGTGACTTTGTAGAGGGTGTCCCACTAAGAATAGCTCTCGGCTGTATCTCGGGAAGTATTAGCCGTAGCGGTTGCGGAAAAAAATATTTGTAACTAAAGAAGCTATGGGAAATTGCTGGAAATTATTTTCAAGTTTGTAGAATGACCGCTAGGTGGCGCAACTGCAACAAAAAATAAGAAAATGGAGTTTTTACACAATTTTGCCTAGATAAGGTATACTATAAGTAAACAGCTTCATAATCTTCAGTAAATTTTGAATATTTTTTGTTAGAGCCATTTTCCCCTATCTACCGACATAAAGTGGTGGGGGAAGGTTAGATCTGTTTTTATTTGAATATTAATAACTCTGGACTGGATGATCGGAATCCAACAAGCGAGGGCTCGTTTAAAAGAGCGTTTCTTATTCTATACTGTACCATATAAACAATAATAATAAGCTTTTGAACGTAGACGCTAGGGGGCGTTGTCTTACAATTTAACAAACATTGCGCGTTTTTTCTAAAAAATTAAATGCAATAGTATATGTAATTTTAGCTGATAGTAAAGAGTAGGAAAAGCTTAAAAAGTCCGCGAAAACCGCATCTTGATATCTTCTTTCAAACCGAAGATATTACCAAAATTATAATAAATACCAAAAAATAAGCTTTTAATTATCTTATTTTTACAACACGGTATCAGCAGCCCTCTTGATTATGCCTATTCTAACCTAAAAATAAGATAGAAACAGTTAGTTTCAAAGACATTATAAATATAGACCGAACATCTCATTCATAAATACTCGTTGGTAGTGTATCAAACATTCCAATGTGTCAAACAAGGACAGAAGAGACAGGGAAGTCTAAAATTTCCGACCCCGGCAACTAGGCGCATTTGGATTGTTCTAATGGCCAGTGGCGTATCGTTTTTTGGAACGAATTTAATTAGTAAAGTAAAAGTAAAGTAATTAGTAAAATGTTTACTCCATATTAATATACTACATTAACACTTTTTCGTCAGATGAGTTTTGTTATAAGGTCTAATATAATAATATAATTAATATCCCACATATACTTATGTTGAAACGTTAGTAGGTAGTTTTCGAAAATCGCTCCAACGTCGATTTTTTAATTTAAACTTTCAGTTAATTCTATATAAACTTTCAGTTACTTTTGAATATTTATAGGGTGACTTAGGCTTCCGAAACAGTTCTATATTAGGTTTGTGGTTGGTGACTTTTCTTTCATTTTTTTCAGAATATAGAGGCAATGGTAAAGCACATTTTAGACATTTTTGTAAACATAGGTGGCCTGAACATATTTTCAAACTAAAGTTGTAGATTTGCCATTAAATTTCCATTCCAGAAATACCTAGGGTTGCCACCTGTCCTTTTTTGAAAAGGACAGTCCTTTTTTGGAATAACTTGTCCTTTTGACTTTTTTGACTTAAAAAGTCATTTTTATTTACGTATTTTCCCTGAGAAAATTACCTACAGCAACCAGAAATATTATTTTCGTCCAAATTTAATTAGAGATACATATTTACTTATAAATACATTTTTCTTGTTTAGAATAGGCAACATTATTTAGAACTTCCCGTTTAATCTCAAATGATAATTTAGGTTTTAGTTTTACCTTTTTTGATTTTAAAAAGAACTTTTTAAAATTAGTAATTAGTAACGATTTAGTTAGTTCGCAATCGATAGCTTCCTGTAAAGTACTATGTAATAGTTGTTTAATCTTGTATTATTAATAACTTCCTATACCTAAAATCAATTTTTAATGACAAAATTGTGTTTTTTTGAAAATATAAGACAAGATTTGACTTTCGGTCTTCTTCTTGTATTATGATGGCTCTGATACGAGGCAATTACCTTTTAGTCTCTCAATAGAAGGCATTTATCATTAAAGGTATCAAATCTGTGTGCTACAGTATGGGATTTCTGTCGCATAATAATGAATATTACGTTTATTTACAAATCCATTACTTTTAAAGGTAGCTTCATCAGACAATCAAATTTTAATTAAATGTCCCAATCTTCATGAACTGTATTAAGCATATGTATTGCGGTTTGAATCACCCCGAGAGTCACCCTGTATGTTGACAAAAATATTTTGAAAATGTGCGTTACAATGGCCCCCATCTTATGTAAAAAATTGAAATAAAAATTACAAACCTAAAACGTAATAGGTAAAAAGCTTTTTTGGAGGCCTGGGTCACTCTGTATATAGGTATGTATAAAACTAGTAGCCTAAGAATTATTTACAGTTCGTCCCATTCTAAAAAGAGGGTATTCTCTAGAAAGAGGTATTTGTACGGTGGTAAAAAATTGTTTAAACGAGGCCGAAGGGGCAGATATAATAATGCAATAAAATGTAAAAAAAGGGCGGGTAAACACCTTTGTTTATTTGTTGAGCAAAATTCCTTTAAAATATCGTATATAATGACCAAAATATGATGCAATTTTAAGAAAAAAAAATGTCACTTTCTGGCTTATAATAAAGTTTCAAATGCAACGTTTATATTCAAATTTGTTGTGATCTACAACAGTTAAGTAGTAATTGAGACGAATTATAATGCAATTACCGGCTACTACGTTCTTGTTTTAATAACTCAAAATTCAACAAATATAATTAGAAATTATTTTAATTGTGAGAGGCTCCCTTGTGGGACGCCTATGTACGGCGATTACGGCGCGGCGGAAACAATACCTACCTACAATAATTCGGGTAAATTGAGCTTATTTTTCCACACATTTGACACTGTCGTACCATATTGAAAATTCGCAGATTCAAAAGTACGTTAAACAAAAGCAAAAACTACTGAAAAACACTGAAAAGTTCACTTCGGACTTGATTCCGACTTCAAACACACCGTAAGCTAAACCTAGTACGCTATAACGGACCAAGGGCCGTCGCGAGGGGCGGTGGGACGGACGGCTCATTTCATTCTGGAAGACTAGCAGCGACGTTGTCAATAGTTCTAGACGTTTCAGCACATTAAACAGTAAACATGTCTTTAATTGTAACGCATATATCCTCTGGTTAATAACCATATTATTACGCATGCTTCTTTAAAAATAAACTATTAATTTAATTAAGAAATTGAGATTTATTGTTATCCGGTAAAGGTTTTAAAGTCACCTTTTCTGCAAATTAAACTAAGTAGATAGGCGCAAATTTGAGATGTGGCAATGTCGCCTTCTCTATCTCAGTTGGTTTTTACAGTACGTAGTCAACCTCCGATTGTTTGATCGGGTTAAAATGTCTAATGTGATATCTGTTCTTACTAAATCTATGGTTAGTTTATTTTAAAATCGACGATATACCAGAATATCATAATATCAGATGTATTAATATCTAATAATTAAGATATTAATAATAGTGAACAAGAAACGATTATTCAGTGAAGTCATGGTAGGCTTTGGAAAAAAGTTGCTTTTGACGTAATAGTATAAACGTCAAATTGTTATTAGATCAACATTTTGATAGTCTTAGCAGTGTTTTTTTATCTTTTGATTGTTTTTTCAAAATGCCAACAACTTCAACTACTTCAAATAATAAAGGCATTTTGAAAAAGCATTTAAAAGATAAAAAAAACGCTGCTAAGACTATCAAAATGTTGATCTAATAACAATTTGACGTTTATACTTACGCGAAAAGCAACTTTTTTCCAAAGCCTACCATGACTTCACTGAATCATCGTTTCTTGTTCACTATTATTAATATCTTAATTATTAGATATTAATACATCTGGTATTATGGTATTCTGGTATTTCGTCGATTTTAAAATAAACTAACTGTTTTTATCTTATTTTTTTATTAGACTGGGCCTAATCAAGAGGGCTTCTGATACTGTATTGTAAAAATAAGGTAATTAAGGGCTTATTTTTTGGTATTTAGTATAATTTTGCTAATATCTTCGGTTTGAAAGAAGATATCAAGATGCGGTTTTCGCTGACTTTTTAAGCTTTTACTATTCTTAAGCTAAAATAACACATACTACTCTACCAGCTAAAATAACACATACTATCGTATTTAATTTCTTTGAAAAAACGCGCTATGTTTGTTAAATTGTAAGAAAGCGGCCC